TGACTTTACATAGCCCTAAACTCTTCGCAAATGATGCTTTCGGGCCACTCGTCTTCTAGTTTTGGTATATCCAGCTTGTGGCTGTGAGCCAAAATCTGTCTAACACATGCTTTCGGATCACAGTGGACAGACCGACAAAGCAAGACCACTTCCAAAGGCTCTCTAAGGGACCCCACAGCCAGGTTCTTGCTCTTGCAACCTCAATCGCAAGGCGGATCAAAGCGGACTCGGCGATTTGTCTTTTTATAGATAAGGGCGGAGGGAGAGTAACTGTTTGCATCACGCTTTCTCTGGGCCTCCAGCTCTGTCTGTCGGTCACCGTATAGGGAGATATTCATAACCCGTTGCCACCGAATTAGCCGAGACAAACCTTAGCCGGTTGTGGCTTTGGGATGGAGTGCCAATGGAGGCATATTCCCAGCGGTAAGAACAAGCGGCAAAATTTAAATCTCAGCCCCCCGCATCCACGACGACCATGCTGGCGTTGTTCCCGAAACTCCCTGCGCAACGATTCACTTCACTTCGTCTACCTGTGTCCACTCACGCCACAAACGGGACGAGCGGAAGCCTGTCCAGCTGCTCCAGGCGAACAGCACGCTTCCGGCGTGCCCGGCGGCACCTCGACTTGGCTTGGGCATTACCTCCGGCTTGACAGTGAAGACTCAGCCAAAGGTATGCGCCCGACCGAATAAGGGCTTCTTGAATAGCTGCCGTGACATCACCGGGGTGAACCCGTTGGCTGCTGTTCATGTACCGATGTAGCCTCCGCATCCGTGTGGACAACTGCGGCGGAATCGTCAATGGTTGGAGCCGAGGCTTCGGCGTGTCGCACATCGCCACGAACATGTAATGCCGCTCCTCGCAAAAGAAAGCGTAAGCAACCAACCCCAGCATGAACTGGTCCGCCTTAGCAAAACATGCTTCGCTGGACTTTGGAAGGCACTCCTGCTTGCTAAGGGAGCTAGTGTCGATCCACAAACCACGCTCGTCTTCATCAAAAGCCGCCTGAAGAGCAAGAGCAAAAGCATGCCAAAGCAACGACATTTTTCGAGCCATTGCCGATCCATATGCCTTCTGCTTGTGGATTTCTAGACCGAGCAGGCACTTCTGCAAGCGGGACCTGTCACGCAGGCGCCCCCCGCCCCCCGTGTGCGTGAGACGGCCCCATAAGGTTCCGACATCTTCTCGGGCCAGATGTCGGCCTTGAGGAGCAGATGTTTGAGAACGGTGTTCCTGTGAGAAGCGTGGCTCCGCGAGCAGCGAGGCGCGAGGCAGAGAGTGGCTGCGTCCTGCCTGAAGAGAGACCAGAGCGCAAACCAGATGAAGGCCGCATGGGCCAACAGAGGCCCTGCCCTTGGCAAAGAGTGCTGCTGACTTTGCTGCTGCCGGGGCAAACATATGCAAACACCACGTGTTGTTTTTGCACATTATGAGGAGACCGATCAGGCCTAAGAGCATGCATGGAGCTACCGATCCCTTCGCTTTAGAAGGGCACCCGAATAAGCAACCTAAACTTGAGCGAAAACATGAATGTAGCCTCGACATTCACTGTCAGAGGCCACGCTAGACTCTTGATGACGCCTGCACGTCTGGAAAAGTAAAAGCAGCGACATCTGATGCTGAATGCGTACCAAGCCAAATAAGGGTACTGTGTGGCACTGTAGACCCGCTTCAGATCAAAGAAAGCCATCGTCAGGGCTTGCAGAAGAAGGCTTCTCCCTGCATGTTCTTCTGCCGCCAGAGCCACCAGAAAGACATCGCCGGTATCACCACGATGGCATGACCAACAGCCTGATGCATTCTGTCGAGCTCTCCCAGTCATACCTGCCTTGTGCCAGCTGGGCCAGCGACGACCCTGTTCAGGCTGTCGGCATGTCAGGCACCAAGGCGTCGACATGCGTCGACACAGTTGAAAATTGCACCGATGGACTGCAACGTTGACATTGATCCATTGGCTCACCCGATTGCTCGAGCTCAAGGCCTGGACCCTAGGCAGTGACGTCTGAAGAGTGCATACCAAGCCGGACAAGTGCATTATAGACCCGCTTCAGATCGGCTGACATCGTAAACAAGATGAGAGATCCATAGATGGCAAAGAACAGCATCGTCAAGGCTTGCAGCAGAAGGCTCCCTCCTTTCATGTTTTGCGCCACCAGGTAGACGTTCACCGATATGACCAACATGGCCAAGAGCCAGCAAAACACCTGAAAATGCTTTTCGAGCACAAACTCTCCCATCAACACCTTGTCCGAGTTGAAGTGAAGTACCGGCACCAACGCAAAAGGCAGCTGCACAGACTGCAGGACGTTGATCCACTGGTTCACCCGATTGTTCAAGTTCGGGGAGGAGCTTGTCAGCACCGCCACAGCCACAGCCGGGCCCAGCGAGATAAGCCGCGTGACCAGAGTTCGTAGCCACAGTGGAATCCGCCAATCCAGAAACCCTTCCATCACACACTGGCCGGCGATGGTGCCGGTCATCGTGGAAGCCTGGCCTGCTGCCAACAAGCCTAGGGCGAACATGCTCCGTCCCATCGCACCGCGGCCGCCGAAGAGCCGACGCAAGGAATCGCCCGCCTCGGCCAAGCCTATCTCCCCACAAAAGCCTGCACTTCCGGCGCCCGTCGTGCAGGAGCTGCAGTCGCCACCTAAACAGCCACTGCTGCCCCTACTGGGCAGGCAAGCCAGCGGTCCGTTCTCGGCGAGCGCACACTCTCTGCTGAAAAAGCCGGTGGCGAATGTCGACATGAGAGCAGCATTGATAAAGAAGGTGATGACAAGAGCAATGCTCGAGTCAACCTCGGCTTTTCACATCCGCAGAGCTGCGCACCACTTCACAGCAGTCATAGTGGCAAAAGTATCTTCGAAGAAGAGAAGGAAAATACTGATTTGGGAAGTATCTTGGGATTGAGGTTCGATTCTGAGAAAACAAGCCGCTGTCCTACGACTTGACCAGGAAACTGCTGTGTACTTGTTGGCTTGCCGGACATGCTCCACATCCTTCCGGTTGGCAGTGCCTGCACATTGGGCAGACCATCATGACCACCACAGAAAGCAATGAAGGCATGGAGAAAGAACGAACAAGAAGCAAGGGATTTGCTGCGCGTGCTGTGAGATTTCTGAGTCTGAGACGCTGCTTGCAGATGCCGCTGTGCAGGTATAAGTTGTGCGGCATGATCATGGCACCCACACTCCCCACAAGCTGCAGTCCGGCATAGTCTTCGCAATGGAAATTGAATCCACGCAGGAACTGTTCTGCAGAAGGAGGCATCAAGAACAAATTCACCAGGTAGCAGGTGAGCAACCTGAGGTGAACCCGGTAACCCCCACATCAAAGAGTCCATACCAGGCAAAGACGCTCTGTGCTGGCCCGAGGGCAGGGAGATGAGGATCAAGATAAAGAGCTCCAGGAAGCGCTTACCCAGTTGGTGGATCAGAAGGAAGGTGAAAGTGTCCACACCGGTAGCCAACGAGCCGACCTCGGCTATGATCAGCCGCTTCTCTGCTGCTCCCATTTTGTACCCTCCTGCTTCCAAGCAGCCCATAGAGGCCATCCAAAAAGCACCCTCGGGTTCCGAAATAGCTGCGTGGCACTGGTAGAAAAAAATCTATCTAGGGTCGAAAAGCAACGAAGAGAACCAGTTGCTGAAAACACTCCAGAAAACCGCAGAGCAATTCCTGTGCCAACCACCTCCTGTATGTCGGCACCGATAATGGCCAGCTCCTTCAAAGTATCTGCAAACAGCAAACTCTGCCTTTTCAGCTGTCCTCTGATAGTAGAAGCTGTGGTGTTCCGAGTGTCCACGTCTCGCCGAAGGTATCATTGTGAGGAGTGATACTTCCGCACTTCTACGTGGGGTTTTGATTCGAATGAAAAAATATTATGGAGTCCAAGGCGAAACATGCGACATGAACTCGGTGTCGGTATGGTATGGATATGCCACGCGGAATGGGTGTTGGGGTATTAATTAAGGGGGTGTTTTATTCGATGCCACTTGCAGTTTGCAACCAATTCTGTCTGGAGCCCTTGGCACGCCTCGGATCCGGTTTCCTCATTTCATGAGCACTCTATGCCTTGCTCATCCCGTGCTCGTTGTTGTGGGGTCCATTATGAGTCCGAATCGAGACGCTTCGAGGGGGCCTACATGACGCCGGAAAATGTCCATACGAGTTGTCAGAGTATCCATTTCCGAAGCCACGTGGGACAACCTCTGCCTACAACGAAACGCTTGTCCGTTGGACCGAGTAGCTGTCATGATCCACAGCAGCCTCGACAGCTGGCGTGGGTATTCCAGACGGCAGGTCTGTGCAAGATCACGTCCTCGAAGGGTCGCAGATCGCAACTGCCAGGACTACTACGCAGCAGTTGAAACAAAAAGAATACTACTATAGGAGTGGAAAGGTGTACTCTCTTCGAGGAACTGGAGGTAATGTAGGAACGACCCTGGCTCTTTATCAGGGTTCTTCATAGCATGAAACCTAATATTTGGGATTGTAGGGCCAGGGTTTCTTTACCAGCTTCCTACATTGTCCTTGCAGATAAACCTCGCGAACCAAGAATCGAGCCGCAATGCGCATCTTGTCATTGACGCTACAGTCATGCACACACACACACACACATCGCATACACACCTAGACACCACTGCACATGCTCGTGCACACTCTCTGCCTCCTAATTCTATCCACTCGCCCACTCACACCGACTGGCTATTCCCCTCTGTGCCATGAAAAACACTCATGCTAAGCTATCGACAACTTGAGTTGCTTTTGCTTTTACTTTTTATGAACTCGTTTGTCGTGTATGTACACCTGTGTGGAGATGTATGTTACATGTACGCATACATGTGGACCGTCAGTTTGGGTCTCCGAATCTTTTCCAAACTCAATATTGCAGCGTAGATGGATCGTGGAACCGAGAACAGTTTCCCAGAAACCGTGGTGTCTTATTCTTAGCACCAGCCGTGTTTGCTCTCCTGGTCAAGATCGTTCTATTCCACCACTGCGATCTTGGGAAATAGAGGTAGCAGTAGAGCTCTTTTCTCGTCCCTTGCCACCTACGATTCTAGTCTACGGATGACATTGCTGTCATTTTAGAGGCTGACCTGTCACCACAGCCAGTCGTGCGGCCAGAACTTGCAGGATGAGGCCAGCCATGGTGCCTCAGGCACGAGGGCTTTAGGGTCAGGGTTTGGGGTTTTGCAGGGTTTAGGGTATAGTAGGGCTCTAGGAAAGAGGGCTTAGGGTGCAGGGTTTGGGAAGATGTGGGGTGCGATGCAAGGCTAGTTGGGCGAACGACGAATCAAAGACAAGCGGCACAGCAGCAAGACCTCTGTGGGCACAGCTCCCGAAACCCAGCCGTACATGTCTGCACACTACAGGACTGTGAAGTCTGAGGCGCCGGCCCAGAGGAGGCTGTGGCCCGTGTAGGCACCACTTTGTAGGTCGCTCTCCAGGTTACCCGGATCCAAGTAGGCTAAGCTCATCAACCATCCTACAGAGATAGGTCACTCTTGAGGATGTCAGGAGTTGCAGGTCGAGACAGGCCCGCGACGGAATCAGAAAGCTGCAGACGCAGAAAACACAGGTCCTGGTCCAACGTAGGCTGCAAAAGTTCTCCTTGGAGGGAAGACTTAGTTAGGACAAGCCTTGCCGGTTGCCACCACCACTATCTCCAAATAGTGTCCCAAAACATGATTAATCTGTACCCTAATACCACCAACGATAAGGCTTGACATGGTTTGACCAGCTTCGGTTCCATTTTGGGGACAAATACTCAAACATACTCTTCGCAACTGGATTGCTCAGGCTAGGACGAATTATTAATTCTAAAAAGGTGGATAAAGTGTTTGGGGAGATACCAGGCTGCTCTTGAAGTCTTGGGTGGCTGAGATGGGCAAAACCTCGTTCTGTGACTTACAACTCCGTCACGTCTGAAGCACCCCTCCATTGCGCCAGGCGGTCCAGGTGCAGCCGTGTCACCAGGAGAAGCGCACTCTAGCTGGGTCTTTGGGCATGAGCTCAGGCTCGGGGGCATCTGAAAGCTTGTTGACGAAGAGCTCATCATCCGAGGAGTAGGACGAGCAGGAAGAGCTGGAGTCTATGGCACAAAGAGGCAGAGCTCCACAGGACATCTTTTCAAGATGGCCACTTGGAGCTAGCCCAGCGCACAAGGATAAGGAGACCTAGACGTGACCCAAATGCTTCTGAAGTCAAGAGCTATTTTATGGTGCAGGCCAGCGTGAATGTCAGCTGCTTCAAGCACGCGCAGTTACCACCCAGACCTGTGCCGGGCGTGCCTTCAGAATGCTACGAATCATTGCTCGTGTTTCCTGACACTACGGTGCCTTTGACTTGAGCCATCTTTCCCTTTGCGGACAGCTACGCTCTTCAGGACTCAGTACAAGCAGAAGCTTGCCGGTTCCATACACGTCCTGGTCCAAGTTCTGCTTGTCAACTCTGACCCGCCACACCAAGCTGCACCAAGCTGCCGGCACCAGGAGGATGTCCATGGTCCAATGGTTCACGAAGTCCTGAATTCGCCGGGCCGGAGTCGAAAGGGGCACGTGCCAGCACAGCCAAGAAGTCCTCGAAGAACTCGCCTGAAAGTTCCTGCCGTCACTGCTGCACAACATTAACCATCTGCATTTGCAGGCATCTGCACGCCATGCGTGCAGGTGCCTGACTACGCAAGTACTGATGGCATCAGCCCAAAATATCACGGCACTGATCCTACCACCCACGACAGAAAATCTAGACTCAAAAACCTACAAACCTCACCGCCGATGGTAGAACCCAATACCTGTCATACTACATGGACTCACATCAAAAACAACCCACGCAACACACTATGTTTTGACCATGTTGCACTTTCCTGTGGGGTTCTAGCAGTTCTTCAGCTTTGAGGTTTAAGGACAAAGACTACATTCATGCTGTCAGATTTCCAGTCGAGCTGTAGACGGCGCCATAAACACCAGTGTGCTCTGGCAAGGCTCTAGCAAAGTTATGCTCACGTCATGCGGTCATGGATTCAAAACACCACGCCCTTGCCTGATGCAGTATCCGGCATGCTTAAAAACCAACCTACATCTCGTATGATACAAAGAACGATGATGCCGAGCGTAAATGAACAGCCCAACCATTTCATATCTGCACAACGACAACATCGTCCTTCAATTATTGGTCGATTTGATTTGCTACCATGCTTTACATCTAAACCGCAATATGCATCGATTCAATTAAGATCACTGTTACGTTGACTGGCATGTTTGATAGAGTAACATGCTTGTTGATTAATGTTTGCTCATCGGTGCATAACCTCGCTGAAATTCTACCTAACAAACATCTGCATTCCTTGAGATCTAGCGGCCAGCGAAATTGAGTATGAAGATGTGTTGAGTCTTAAGATCGCATCCGGGCTTAAGAGCAGTGGGATTGGTTCGGGGTTTGCTCCGACCCGTTCTATCTACATCATTCATGACACCTGTTTGAAACTCGTGTGCTTGCTCTTCTTTTATGCCGAGTACTATTCTTTGGCGTTCTGCATCATTCCGATCTGAGCTACGTATTTTCAGCACTGGCTCTGCTTTGACTCAGTTGACAAAATATTGCCTTCGTCGAGCGGGGAATACTGACAATCGACGTTCATGTTGCTGTTGTTAGTAATAAACAGCATTGTTGTATTTGCGCTGTCGTGCTCCTGAATGGTTTCGTCTGTTGTGAGTCTTAGCATGAAAGTATTCAGGCTCAAACTCTAAGCCCCTCAACCTGGCACAGCCAGTTCGGAACGCAAGGAAATCTGTGCGGTCCCGGAACAACGCCGCAGCGGCCCTGGCCTGCCGGATGTCGAAGATGAGGCGTGCCGACACCGTCACGGTCAGCGCCTTGGCGGCAAGGCTCCTTTTTTCCGCCAGCGCAGTGAGAGGAGTGAGAGGGGGCTTTCGAGGGCCCCACGAGCAGGTTCAAGGCCTCGAGCCGATCAAGGCCTCAAGAGCTGCAGAAGACGGCTAGGAAGGCTGCTCAACGAGGCGCTTCCTAGGGAAGGGGCAGAGGTAGCTACGGTTGTCAAAGGGGCCGGAATAGACGTGCAGCAAGATGAAGCCAAAGGAGGTGAAGAGCATGAGAACCTGCCACATCAAAGCACAGATCCGACATGCCCAGAGGTTCAAAGATCCAGCTAAGGCACCATTCGCACGTACATTGTCGGAGCAGTGAAAAAGAGGAGGATCATCACCTTCCTGAACATGTACACCTGGGAGAGAACGGCAAAACCTGCCGGTGGCATGGGAACGACTTCCTGCCCTGAGTGTTCCGCTGATTCGAAGTAATAGTATCTGAGCCTGGGCGAACATCTCGCTTTCTGAGCCCTGTCGGAAACTTCTTCTTGCAGATCGAGCTTGCGACTCAAAGCCGTTGTACAGGAAGCCGAATCTCTTTCGAACTTCCTCTCGGCAGCTGGGCATGCGCTGATGGGAAGAGGCAGACACTGCGGGGCGGAGCTTCACGATGCAGCTGCAGCCCATCCGGTCCGCATGGAAGAGGCGCTTCCGAACCCTGAAGAGTGCTATGAAGAGTGCAACCTGACAACAAAATGCACAGAACCTCCAATCACGGCAGCTGTAAGCTCTCTGGGGTGTCGACCGGCACGCCGATTCCGTAGACAACAAGCCCCACGGTGCTTAAGCAAAGCCACTGCCTTGGAAGCTTCGCACTGCTTCCGGCCACTCCATGAGACCGGTGACTGGGCAGCAGGCATGTGGGTGGTGGATTTGCACTCTACTCCGAGGTCATGCCTGCTGGAGGCAGACCGTGTGTCACCATCACACCAATCACACCCACAACATCTGTTGGGAAATACGCAAAAACACTGCTACAGCAGGGTGGCAGGCTGCTCAGCAACCGGCCTGTGGCGCAGGACGTCCAGCTCCTCGCATTCGAAGCCGACCACCAGGATCCTGGACCGAACTCACAGCAGAAGGCGTGCGCTAAGCTCAGGTTGAGTCTGAAAGTGATAATGATAAGGCGACGGCCTCACCACCACGGGATGGAGGATAAAGCTCATGACGATCACCGAGTTGATGAAGCGCATGGCCACAGAGTTGACCAAGATCTAGCAGCTCGGCACATCTCTGTAACTAGTAACTACCCTAAGCCCAAAAAAAGAGGGCGAGAAAACACACAGCTTCGGCCTTGGTTGCAGCATCCCGGGGCCGATCACCCACGGAGTCCTCTTTTGCCAAGGCCAAGCCGCGTGAGAAAAAAAAAAGAAGGTGCAAGTAACTACAAGAACTGAAGATACGAAAAAAGCATCACGAAATAATGCAAACTGCCTCAGAAAAAAAAACATCTAAGAAAAATGATGTGAGAGAAGAAAGAGGAGCCGGGGGGTGACTGGGCCACTCAGAAAAGTTGAAAAGCAGGCACGGACTGCTTTTCACCGCGGGCTACCGACTCGCAGGAGGCCCTGAATCTCTCGGAGCTGCTGCAGAACCAAGGCAATGACCACCACGAGAATGCCTTCGGAGGGGTTCATCAATAGGAATTCATAAGCTTGCAGAGGGGTTTCATGGGGCCTGGGGTGCCAATGAGGTTTAGAAGTTTAGGGCTTACGTCTTCACGGAACAAAGGAGCCATCAGAGGCAGAGCTCCAGGGACTCGCTGTGTCCGAGAGCCGGGCACACTCCCAGACTCCAGAGGCCCCACGGAGTTCTATGTAGCTTGGCCGCAGCCGCAGCCTTGCCATGGTGTCAACCATGAAGTAGTAGAAGTAGTAGAAGAAGTGGAAGAAGAAGTAGAGGAAGTAGAGGAAGTAGAAGGAGTAGAAGTATAAGTAGAGGATGATGGTGGCGGTAATGGTAGCCCCACCTGGATTGAGGCTCGCAGCATTGGGCTCCCTGACTTCATGGTCTCCTGCGCCTTCTTCGGGCTCTCCTTCAAGCAAAGACCAGGGAAGCAAGGACCACAAAGGCTTCTGTTTGCAGTCGAGAAGCGTACAGGAGAACCTTCGGTCTCAGCTCGAAACCTGGGCAGTCGTTTCGCGCGGCGTCCAGACAAGCCGCCTGCATCCCCATGGCAGCCCGGCGGCGCGCGCATTCGTGAGCGATGGCCACCCAACCGAAGAACTCTTTGCGGACGCCCCGAGCAACGCCTGACGTCAAAGCCGGCCAGAAGTTCGCGGACTTGCAGCCGTGAAGCTGGTAAACACATCTCAGACACGGGCTCTGCTATGACTTCAATAGGATTCTGACACCGAATCTTTGCAAGGAGGCTCCGCTTGTGCGCTGCAGGTCTACGTTTGTGGACGACTGGACCGGGCTGTCAGAGAGAAATCCATCCATGCCTGGCAAGTCATTGAAAAAGAGCCAGCAGTTGTCATCCTGCCAGCCAGCCGTTAAGATCACGATCAGCAGAAAGCACTCCTCGCCATCCTTTTTGCTAATTGCGGGCCAGGGGGCAGACTGCCGCCGGCAGAAAACTACCTTTGTTGTCACCGCACAGGTTAACTTAACCAAGTCACCTGCTTGATGAATGCACTGCCCAGGCTTGACTCGTACTGGTAGCAGGCCAGCCACATAATGCTGAAATGCTTCGATGTAGCAGATCATGGCAACCAAGTGGTGGCTGTCTCCCAGGTCCGCCATGTGCTCTCCGCGTGCTTTGCCACCTGTCGACACTGCACGCCGATGGCCAGTAAGGGGAAGCATTACTGGTGGTGTGGGATTTCTTTTGGACCACAGCATTCTTTCGCTTAGCGGCCCTGGCAGAAAACAAAAAAACTGGACAGGTCAAAATTGGCGCACCGATTTGAAGCGACTCACGGAGGACTCCGACTAAGCTCTGGCCTGAACCTAAACACACAGGGAAAAGGGGTGCTCAAAAAGGTCTAGGTGCGGGGCACCATAGCGAGGACGAGATTGAGAATGGAGCCACTGGACATCGAGGGCAGCACCAGGTCCAGGGCCAGCAAAGGTGCATCCTGGACACCTCGAGCGACCATTTCGGGGCTTTAGGATGTTTCTGGATTTTGTGGCTGGCGTGTTTCAACAGATCCCTAATGCCGCCAAGCAGCCCATGTCTACGACATCTTTCCAGAATTCAACCGCTGTGAGGGCTTCGCCGCTAAAATTCACAGGTACAGATGCAATGAGCTCAGCCAAGGGTTTCAAGCACGGGTCCTTTCAGGTCAAGGAATCCCAGGTCGATGCGCAGATGCACTTGCAAATGTGAAAAAGGCGCAACCGGAGTCAGGGAACCTCCTGCAGTTTCGCGAAGGCCTCACAGCAATTTCGGGGGCTCTCTTCTCTTCCACGAAACCGCCACAGCCCGGCCTCCGCACAGTCGCCATAGCCGCTGCCCCAGGCATCGACGAGGAATCGGATTGGGACTGGTCGGCCATTCGCAGCGCTTTGCTCGTACAACTCCCAGGTTTCTCGAAGGGCGTCAGAGACCGCTCCACCACCCTGACACATTTACACGTATCACCGCTCGAACGACATGAATCAAAGCATCGGTTCACTGACCTTTGCTATCGAGACTGTTTGCACGTCTGGCTCGCACGCAGAGGCTCAAATGCCGCCATGTGAAAATTTCCCGAGGATCGATGACGTTTGGGGAATATCTAGCAACCCTCGGACCCATGCCAAGCTTATCCAGTCGGATCGACGCACATTCAAAACTCCTTCCCGGCCCTGTCGCTGGCCCTTCCCACTTGTGCCTGCGATGACAAAGGACGCACTAGGCTGTCGAAGAGGGCATGGAAGACGCGGGAATGCCACAAGCTTTGGAAGAAAGTCGACAGCCAGCAGCTGTCTTTCTGCGGATTCTGAAATTCCTCAGATCTTCATTATCTTTCTGTCTGTGCGATGCATCGGAAAAGCGAACAGCTGATGTCGGCCATACTTGCTGCAAAATGGCCGAGTGCTTGTACGAGGAGGATCGGCACAACTCAACAGACAAGTCCTGGCATCCACAAAGCACGGATCCAACATGAAAGCCCAAAAACGGACTCTGCGCCGATTCCTCCACAGCTCTCTGGATTGCTGCCAAATCCTCTGGGCCCTCGGCTGCAAGAAGTTTCTCCTGTGGGCAGGCCACGCGCCAGCTTTTGAAGTGCCCTCGAACAAAATGTGTACCGGGCCTGCTCGATGCCGTAGAGCTCCAGCTTGGCCAGGGTCTTCTGCACGCCCTGAGCGGCACGGACCAGCTCCGCAGATGCGGGGGGGGCCTCGGAGAGGGAGCGGCGGCGCTCCCCCAGCTCTGACATGAGACCCGAGAGGTCCCCGGAGCTCTTGGTGCTGAGCTCCGGCTGCACCGTCACGTTTCCAACATGACCGACGGGGACCAAAACTTGACGGTCCCCGAACTTTTTGTAGCTCCAGCCCTTCACGCCGTTTTCGGTACGGATATGGAGCCAATCTTCCTGCTCCCCGAGCACGCTGAAAGGCTGCCCTGCCTGTAGCACGCAGAGCACAAAAGAATCGAGCTCTGGGCTTGCACGAACGTTCCAGGAGTCAACCGCATCCGTGTATTCCAGCTCTGGCAGCAACTGCCACTGTTCATCATTCCCATCGCCAGGAATCTCGAGCGCCATGCAGAGCCTTTATACACTGTCGCAAAGCCTACAAAACATGCCAACTACTTTCAAGTCTTGGCCGGAATATGCACCTGAGCTGCCGTGAACCTTATCATCTAGAGGACGATCTCCCGCTATCTATCTTGGGACACTTCATGCTCTTCTGCTTGAAGGTGGCTCAACATTCGTGAGCTCTGCGCTTGCTTGAAGGTGAGTGAAGTGCAGTCTCGAGCGACAAAACTGTTCATGGCGGCAACATGGCTAGAGTGACTAGCGCATCAAGCATCGAGACTCCTCCGTTCGGCAGTGCCGCCAAGGAGAGGCGGGAGAAGGCGTACCACACGCAGACCTGCAGCCGGTGCTCGACCGCCGCACAAGCTTAGATGGCGTGAATCTGTGAGTTGTCTTGCGACATCACGGCATCACAAACTCCAAGGCCCCTGCATCGGCGTGAGCGGATAGTCCTCGCCTGCAGAAAACTCTAGACAGAACCCGAAAAGGACATGTCCAAGCATCGAAACTGAAACGCTGCGCGCGCATATCTTTTTCCATCCGAAGACAGCCGACTCCAGAGCGTCTTCATCCACCGGCGAATACCAACTCGGGAACTTCTGGGAGCCCTGGCCGTCTCGTGGATGCAGCCCTCAGTCTCTGTCAAGACATTCAATCCGTATCCGGGGCATCAGCCGAGCGGCGGTAGTTCCAGAAGAGCTCCTCTCCTTGAGGCTGCTGTGCTCCGGCAGGCTGATGACGCTTCCATGGCACTACAAAATCTGAACACAACTAGTTTCACTGGTTGAGGCAAGGCTCCCGAGCGAGCCTCTAACACAGTGATGAAGGCCATGCCCATGTAGGGCCAGGCAGGGAACTTCACAGCACCCTGGGCTCCCACCAGGCTTTGCTAGATGTTCGATTCGCTGGCAGGCTGTAACCCTACGCCCCATGCGTGCCTGGTCATCTCTTCTTCCGCTGGCTGTTTGCACGACTTGTCCTTGCCGCATGAAGACATGAGGAAGTAGCCGTGCCCAGAGAGCGGGGTTCTCCTCGCCTCCGCAAAGTTTTGCAGTTTCGACACAGACACAGCAACCGGCAGGGCCCGAACCCAGCTCTGACCACGTCGGCCATCGAAATGCCATCGGAATGCAGTTTGGAAGGATGTCGGCAGGTGGATGGTTCAGCAGATTCCCAACCTCAACAGCTTACGTACAGCGCAAATGAACATCCTGGTCACTTTGAAGCTTCGACGGCCGCATCGAGTACTTATGAGGCTCTTGCAGCCAGCCGGTTGGCGTGCCAAATAGCTCGAGACCTGGCACGAAAAAGCGAGTCAAGTGCTTCAATGCAACACTCACGCCTTCTAAGCAATTTCCAAGCAACACGAATGATGCAAGCCAGCGGCTGACCTTGAAGTAGATGATGGTCACGCCAATGCGCAGGCAACCAGCCCTTGCCGTCCAGATACACGCCATTGTACCTTGCGCAACGAACCGCCTTTCTCAACAAGAAGCCTCTCGCTAAATGCTTGCGTTCTCATGATAGAGCTGGGCGGCTCATTTGCAAAGAGCTTGTCGCTCTTCGGAAGGTTGGGCTCGGAGGCATCCATCACCGTTCCCGGGTAGAAGCCTCTGTTTGCAATGAGCAGAATCCCGTTTCGCGCTGCACACTGCTTTATGAAACCTAGCAACCCAGCAATTGACCAGGAAGCGTGTGCCGCAGAGTCCGGATGCCAAGCCTCAGCAGACAGCGACTTGATCCTAAAGTCCTGAAGTGGTGTGTGAGATGGCTGCGTCGAAAAGGCATCATCATCCATCTCGGACTTTACCCCTGACTTCTCCACGATTGAATCTTCATATAATATGCTGGGTTTTGGGGCTGCGAGGGATCATCGCGAAGCAGTCTGTTAGGGTTCCCGTGAACTTCGCTGCATCGCCTGCTGCTTCACTTCTTCCGTGGCGGAGAACATCGAAAGGCCAACTGCTGCAACTTCAACAGTGACTGTACTAAGCCTGTGTTCCTCAGATGCTGTGCCTGGAACTGTCCGCTTCTGGGTTGGTATCGGGCAATTGAAAGATCGGACGGCCACGGCTGCCAGCGATTATATAACCCCTACCTATCGTCCAGAGCCATCGTCGCTTTTCAGGGCGGGCTACTGAAGGCTGCCTTTTGGGTGCTTCTGGTTTCATAGGAAGCTCAGACGCCTTCTCGTTGAATGTCAGCCGGCCGAGATTCACTTGGTGCTGGAAGGGTCTTGTCAGTTGGCCTCTGTCTCCTGTGATATTTCAGGACCCCTGCTACAAGGATCTGAGGCAATGCGGCCACGGAGCGCTGCTCCCGGAGATTCAAAGAGTTCCAGATCCGATTCTCCAATCTGATCAGCTTCGCGATCGAACTCGAGCGCTCGGCACACAGTGAGCGCAGTGCAGCCATCGCACCATGGCCTTCCCAGATCTCATCCTCGACTGGCGGGGATCATAGCTGCAACGCCACACAAAAGCAAGCCAAGTCAGCACCAAAAGAAAACACTACGCAGAAGTCCCAGTGTCTCGGCACACTGCTTTCCCAAAGCAGCTGCTGCCATGTCTGAAACTCTGGAGAAGAGTTCAACCGCCTGAAGCAGGGCGACATCCCGCAAGCCCCAGGACGTAGGGTCGTCTTTGGCATGCAACCGACATCGGCTCCTCCGCTGAAATCGAGATACCCATCACATGCTGCAATAGCTTGATGTCCTCTCCACGTCTGTCGCACGGATCAATAGGAAGTATCCATCGCCAGACATCGACTGTGATGCACGAACCGACAGTGCGAAGCTGAGCCAGCAGCACGCAGCAGGTGAGGTCGGAGAGGTGGCAATGAGACCATTTGGGGGGCTGTTCGGGAGGCCTGCTGTGATCGTTTTCTTTACGTGTTGATCATCCCTGAGTGCTTATAGGTACACTTACTGCTTGCAATGCAGGTGGACTCAGCAACAACTTCGCGTTGCGCACTCTTCGCTTTTGGATCCCATGTTGACTTGGGCAACAAAGGCCGCAAAGACGGAAGGCGGCGCTTCGCCGTCAAATGCGAGTGTCCTCAAAACAGCGTCTACTCTTTGCAAGCTTGCCTCTAAGGGATGCTGGTGAGGTGGGAGACGTAGGCGTGCGAGCATCCTGCCAGGAGGCTGCTGCATCTTGCTTGTCAAGCACTGATCCTTTACATACAAACATGCACATAAATATGTTAGTGAGTGTATGTGCTTGTTTATACGTCGGGTTATACCTATGTCTGTTCATTTCTTGCATCCCACTATTCATGTCAAAAGTATCTACCGATTTGTTCATTTACATCTTAGGCTGTCTATTGAACTTAGAAAATTTTACCTTACTGCTCTAATCGTTTACCTAGTTGGTCATCCAGTTGTTCGTTCATTTACTGACTGGTCTGTTCATCTGTTTATCTATCACCTATTCACCAATCTACCGACTGACGTATTTGGCTGGCTAGCTAGGTAGCCAGCGATCTATTCGTGTCATACTTCGACTGTTTACTCATTTATGCGTACGTACATACATACATACATACATACATACATACATACATACATACGACATACATACAGACATGCAGAGATACAGACATACAGAAATGCATGCAGACATACCTTCATACCGTACCTTCATACCTACATTGCTACACCTATGCCAGTCCACGGTAACGGCACAAGGGGGTCGGGTCCCGACGCGTTGGCGATGCACCCGAGGATGGAGAGAGCCTCCGGTGGAAAAGGTATCAGGAAATCACAAAGACCTACATTCCATCCTGTCTTTGCTGTCGGAGTGCATCTGGCATTTCTGTTTCTGCCGAGACGGGAAACTCCCGCGATTTCCCCTTGATGTCCCGCCACTTCAGCCACGCTGTCCTTGCTCTCCATCCGGGCCCCCGCGCGGGACAGAGATGCGACAGCTTGGCTCGCCACCCTCCTCCTGTCACCACCACGGGCAGACCAGGAGTGCTTTCAACAAGACCTGCATTTCAGCGCCTCGTGCGCAGCTTCCTGGATGACGCCGAGCCTCAGCAATGAGCGTTGGAGTTGAACCCAAATCTCAACCTAAACGGAGCCCCCACCCGACAACAAGACACAAGCCGAAGTGTCGACACGGGGTGCACTGAATCCTCTGGGGCATCTGCTCCGCTTCACGCATTTGCCTCCTTGCCTCAGTAATGACGACCATTCAGATCATTCCAGATTCTCGACTGATTCTAGATGCAAAACTCACTCTCTGTAGTCGCAGGGTTCTTTCAATTTCAGGAACCCTGAGCACCCAGCTTTGTAGCGTGCCTTAGGTGTTCATGGCTTTGTAAGGAGCTGCTTTGGCAGAGGTAAGGCGTGTTTCGGGCGAGCGGCTCGCTGTCGCCGGAGCCATGGCATGAGCCTTTGGCCAATGCAGTCCTGCCAATTCCCCACTCGAGTCGAGCACTGGACGTCTGATCGATGCCTTGCGCACAAACGCGAAGATCGTCATGATGAAGAAGGCTGCCGGCATCAAGAACAAGCCTTGCATAGCGGTGGCATCCACGCATTCAGTGTAGATCGGCACTTGGGGTTCAGACCCACCAAGATTTCGACCTGCGCTATGCAGCTATGTGGAGCTTGCTTCGAAACTGCGATTTGAGCGAGACAGCCTGATAAGGTCGCACGTCGCTCTCCTCTGGCAGTATGCAATCCAAGCCTTGGGACGTGAGCGCTCCGCAAGGTTTTCAAAGACAACCCCAGGCTCAGCCAGGGACTCATCAAAGTGGTCAGCGGATACTGCAGCCTTTCGGGCCTGAATCTTGCCCAAAAAGGGGTCCTTCTGCTACCACGATAGGCTCTGAGCATGGTACAAAGCCACCACTGGGAAGATCCAGCTGGCGGAGCCTTCCCCACAGACCGCCGACACCATTCCCTGCACGGTCGTTGGGCAACACTTGCAACAAGGTGTGCTCTGAAAGGCGCTTCGCAATTGGGGATCAGACTTTGAAGTTCGTGGCCTCGAAGGCGGTGCCAGCCTGACAATCGGAAAGCCTCTCGTGGTGAGCATGCTGGCCTTTGCTTAGGGCAGGTGCGAACTGCATGTAGTTCACTCCTGAGCCGAAAGGCGAAGCAGAGCTCCTCTGGGATGTTCTAAAATTCTAAAAATGCTCTGAGCTCCATGGCCAATCTTCAGGATCACCGAAGGCAGAGCTCGCATCGACTGTGATGCAGACTTCGTTCCCTTCACAATCAACCAGATGTACAACACCTCAGCAAAATTCAACCGTTCTCTGAGGAAGGCAAGGCTTCTGAACCTGTGGCTGCCATCAGATGTTCTTCGATGAGCTGAGCAGAGAAGCTGGTCAGTCTCCAAGCCTCCGACGTAGACACTGATCGTCAGCGCGATGCTTCCGATGGTGACCTCTCTGCAGCTGAACAGAAAGAAGGCTCGGTACATCTCGGTACCTCTCTGTCCAAGGCCGCTACTCGCTGACTGGGGCACTTGGAGCACTTGTCGCCTCGGCCCCACTGGTGAGTCGACAGCACCCTCAAAGCTTGTTGCTTCTCGCTTAAGGCGCAGGCGCTTTAGGCCCCAGAGGGGCTTCGAGAATCCGAACTCGCAGCTCTGGCCTCGGATGCGTTTTCTTTGGACCTCCTGCTCCTCCTGCTCGTTCCAAATAGCATTTAGCGACCTTTGGCCTTTGGCTGCCGAGGCCGGGGCACAAGATACCGTGGTGAGCCTCCACGCACTGGTTCTCACCGATGCACAGCTGCGACGGGTAGCACGGTACCTGCAGCTTTGCTTTTTCCTTCCAGCTTTGCGCCCATCGCATCCAACTGCAGCCAGGGAGCGAAAGCGCCCTCCAAGGAAGCTGCCGGAAGCTGATAGTAGCCTGACTGCATCTGACCCCGTCAGTTCCGCATGGCGTCCGGACCTGTCCGGGACCCTGGCCAGGTTTGGCGACCACCCTGGGCATCACGAGCACAGGATTTACATTAACTACATGAGCCAGTGAGGACTTTGAGCCGGAAGCTCGGAGTTGCCCGGACATGCAGCTCCAGATGGACAGACGTCGCACTGGCTCATACCCGGCTGCATGCCGTACCTGGTAGTCAGAAGCACCCGCGACATGACCTACAAGTATGCAGCAGAAGTGAAGCTGTCACTCTGCCACGGCCTTTAAGCATCCGACGTTCCCGGCTGACAATCTTCACATTCCACGGATCGGGGCGTGCGGAACCGTCCGGCCGGGCACTCCCTGCACCACACCGGTCTGTCACTGCTGCGTAAAATCAACGAGGCCACGAGACGAGTGAAGCCGAGCGCGGCGCGCACATGTCGTTGCGTTGCCACCGATGTCCAGGACCACGGCCTCGTAGGATTCTAGCTCCACAAGGCTGCAACTGCCGATGCTGCTTCATGCACCGCCCCAGATTCGATTGCAGGTCTGCCACAGCCCCACCCATCCGCCGAGCACTGAAAGAAGTCTGGCTGCTTCGTTGTTGTCGTGTTTAGGAGGAGCTTCTCCTTCAGAATGGGGGTTGATTCTTGAGCTGGTTACCACCCGCACTGGCCAAAGAAGAGCATCGTCACCAGTCTCCACTGCTGTGTCGCTTGCATGCGAGCTGCGAGCATCTGCGAGCACTACCGGGATTAGGCACCACGCCTGCCCGGGGTTGCACGGGTACACGTCGATTTCCTTCTGTGCCCAAGTTGGCAAAGGCCATCCAGTCAGTGGCTGCTCGTGACCTCGGCTCTGTCTGCCTTGTCCTGTACATCCGAAAAGCTGGCCGCTTGCCTCAGCACTGGGCCGACCGTAACAATTTGCGAACTGGTCCAGCGATCCATCTTGGGTTGGTCCTGCCAGTCAGAACTCATGGAGATGTTTGGCGGTCTTTGAAGCATGTCGACCACCTTAGATCATTAATCATGCACCAGAGCAGTCTACGCTGCAAATACGGGATATGCCCCTCTTCAGAAAAACTGAAACATCCCTTTCGCCTTGAAACCCCACGCACCTTCCCAGACCAGCCGGAAAAAACACAATCAAAACAATCCAACATCCTAATTCGGCAATTCTGCATCCTTGCCTCCTGGCTTGGCCAAACAACCCCTGTTCAGAAACACCTCCCGTTTCACGGTCCCGGTCGTTTTGGTCGTCCAGGTTGGTGCAACAAAACCCGTACGACTTACGTCTAAGAAGCATGGTTCACGAGTCCTCGCCCAGTGGCTGAACCTGGAGCACGCGGGACTCGAACGCAGGATGACTGCCCAGATTGAAGGACAAGGCCCCTCTAAGCTTCAGTGCTTGTTGCACCAGTGTTGTCGGATTCTGCCTGAGACCTTACGCATGCGTGAAGCTGTTTCAAGTTCTCAAGATCGTCAAGCTCAGCTCCTTTGTGTGATGTGACAGAGACGCTGAGGCCGAGCACCATCCATACTAAAGGCCAGTCGTCCATAGCAAGTCTGCTGCTCTCGCGCCAGCAGTGCCTCTGACCGAACCCATTGAAGGCCATGGCAAAAGCTGAAGAGCCTGGCCTCGCGCACGGCAGCTTGCTCCAGGCTGCTCGCCTTGGGGCCACACCCCGACACCCAGGCACAGACGGAGGTCTGTAAAGGTCCCCGGGCAGTCTTGACGGCAGCCAAGAGAGCGATGCCCCCTGCTGCCGCTGCGGCGCTGGCCGGCAGTGGCTCCTGCCCACGCCCATCTCTCACAGGGCTCCCCAGTTCCGCTGCTCAAAAAACCTCGGCGGCAGCTGCGCGGCTACACTCACCGCGCTGGCCTCCCCGAACTTAGATCGATAGGCATCCGCGAAGTCCCGTGCAGAACCTCAAACGAGAGGCGGGACTCAACGGCTCTCTCTGCGATTTCACAGGGCTCCCATGGGCTCCCGGCCAAAGACAGGGCAGCTCTGGGAAGGCACAGGCTCCCAGATCAGCGGGCTCAAGACGTAATTCCTCGGCGCTCCGCAACAAAGGGCGCTTTTGGGGACCCAGCCCTCTCTGTTTTCCCTCTCCGAGCCACGCGAGATGCGCCCCGATGGAGCGCACCGCTTCCCTGGCTCTGCTCTGCTCTGCGTCTCCGGCGGCCGCGTGAGACGGAGCCCTGCTTGCCTCGTAGAAACGGCGGTGAGGGCGATCCCGCGCGGAATGAAGCCTCAGGCTTGAAGAGCTGTGAGCTCTGTGCACGGCGAAGTCCAAGGCCGCCGCCCAAAGTGCTGGCCTTCAGAGTCAAAGGAGTGAATGCTCATTGCGGGGAGTGCCATCTGACGGCAGACACATGGAGATAGATGGAGATATTGAGAGGTTTGAGAGCCGGGTGGCAGAAACGAGAATTTGTTCGGCGCTGCGCAAGTTGCCACAGGCGATCAGCAAGTCGGGACCTTGGGAAAAAGCTATGCGAAAACCGCATGAACAGTCCGCGCGTAGATGTGAAACATCCCACCTGCAGCCTTCAGCTGTCGCATTTGTGGCATGATGGCCTGCAGCACAGGCACGTACGTCGGCCAAGTCATGGTTGGAATACAACAGCCTGCTCTGCGACGCTCATGTTGTCCAGAACCTCCATGCCCAAGCCTGCAGCACAAAGACTGCCAAGATGCCTCTGGGATCTCTCGGAGCTGAGCCGAGCTGCGCTGTGCATGGGAGCTTGCCCCTGTGCACATCTCTTTGTCGAAGGCACTCCCACCCTTGGCCGGTGGACACGACGTGACATGATGGGATTTGTGCCCTAGATCTTGAGCTCTGTGCATCCCATACCATGGCCACAGAACTCACAGGAGGCACTTGATGTTGCACAAGCTCCTGAGCAAATGCTGACAAAGCTGTACGCGATCATCAGTACCGTTATCTCGGATCTGCAGACAGGTTTCGAGAACTCCTGCCATCTGGTCCTGAACCTGTCAGGCTGCAAAGCACTGCGTTCTACCATTTTGAAAAGATACGGCTCAATTCGCTGCCTGAACATCCGGTGAAAAAGTCCAGGGGCTGTACAGCTGGGGCCTGATGGCTGGGCCCAAGAGGTGCCTGCGAGCAAACGCCAGGGAGCTGGACTATGCAGGTCCCGTTCCCTAGGACAATTATCCAGAGGCAGCTACGGACCGCCGCTGATCAGCGTCAGCACATTCGCAGAGTTGCCGGCATCAACTGCAACCTCGGCAGAAGTGGAGCTTCGAAGATTGGGTTGGGTGGGTCTCGACGGTCTCGCCTTGAACAACTCCGAGGAGTGCAGTCCGAAGAGGAAGTCGACCTCAGCACACAAGCCGCTGGGCTCGCAAAGCTCAGAGTGGGAATCTGCCTCCCTGTTCCGCAGCATTCGGGCATAGATCTCGGCAGCCTCAGGCAGAGCAACATGTGGTTCCTCTGCGCACCTCATGCAGCGGCCCGGAAGCCAGCATGAAGGTCGTGTCATGCCTTGCCAGGGTCGCCATGATCGTCCTGACGGCGTGGGACAAGCAGGCCTTCTGAACCAGCGCAGCCCCAAAATCCAGCCACGTCTGCCCAAAACATCGCGAAGAAGAAAACCCTTCTTCCCATACCTCTACTGTGTGCAAGCATCAATTGGGCCGGGGCCCCACATCCCTCAAAGGCACATTGACATCCCAGTCCTCGACCTGTATGTGGAGCTTCAGGGGCAGGTTGGTGGGGCCATTCCAGGGAGTAGACCTCGGTCAAGAAAGGGAAGCAGCGAATGTAGCGGCTGAACTGTTTTCTTAGGCGAGAGCTGGTTCAGTCTGGCGGCCAGCAGCTGCAAGCCCTGCAAGGATGCTCGCTCGACCTCAGTCTCGCTGACACGAAAATACGACCATCGAAATCAACGCCACTACCACCGCCGCCGAGAAGAAGCATCATCATCATCATCATGACCATGCGCATGATCATGATTGTGGGAGTCGTCTTCCATGTTGTTGTGCGTGTGGTCGTCGTCGGCGTCGTCGTTGTCATCGCGGCCGTGGTTTTGGCGGTGCCTCTGGCCGGAGAGATCCCTGCCATGGTCAGAAACAGCATCAGTGGCATCAGCTGCAGCAGGAGCAACAGTCGCCGTCGCCACAATCACCAGCACCAGTGCCAGCGGCTGCCGACTCATAGCCCTAAGCCGCCAAGAGCCCCGAAGCCCCCGAAGCCCCCGAAGCCTTAAGCGCCTTACGCATGCTCTGGGTTCGTCAGGGTGTCCCTTCTTTCCTCCGAGAGCTGCACGGCACTCTTCAGCGGCAAGGTTCCACCGAGGCGGATGAGGCGACCGGCCGGCCTCATGCACTCGGTTCCCTAACGCCAGCTGCTACAGTCTCATCCCCAACAGCAGAAAGCCCCGATAGTGCGCGTGAGCTTGCGTGAGCTCACTGATGCCGGTTGCAATGACAAACAAAATCAAGGAGTCCAAAGCAAACTGTTCCGGGAGCGTTCCCTCCCTCACCCCGATTCACCGCCACCGCCAAGCCGTCAAGGGCCCCACTGCCTCTGTGTGTTCACCTCAAGCCTCAAACTGTCTTTAAGCAGTCATGCCTCTTGAACCCGGCAACCCCGTGGTTTGCTTCAGGGATAAACGGGAGGCGGAAAAAGTGTACCGGGCTTCCAAACGCTTCCAGCCTGCCTAAACAGAAAGGGGATGCGCGAAGCGGCTGTAAGCAAAATGGGTACACGACTCCTGGGGTAAACAGAAGGTCTTGTTTGTTCGGAGCAGTTGGGGCTTCGAGCGACTTGAGGGTTCTGCGACATCTGAACGACTACTGGGAAAATCATTGGCTCGACAGCAGCAGCTGACGAGCTTGAGAAGGCATGGGACGAGACGGGTCAGTTGCCAAGCGGAGGGCCCATGATGCTAGGCGGATCATTCATAGAGATGCTGCCGGCATCGTGTGAATACGTAACAGTAGCGGCGTCTGCAGTGCTGTTTCAACCCAGCTGCGTGAGAATATGCTGTTGTTTCTGCTGAACTGCCTGTTGTCTCCTGGAATGCGTCAGACACAGTCCCATAACCCAAATGATCAAATGAGAGAATTGCAACACTGCTCTTGATGCGCAAGCGAAATCCACAGACCTCCTGACGCCTGCGGTGATGCTTCCAGACATCGTGTCTCGAGCCGACAGCGAGGCAGCACTCTCGGCCCCAGACTGGACGACGAGAAGGCAAAAGAAGAGCAGGGCCAGCAGCCTCTTGGGCAGCAAAGCCACAGAAGAAGAAGGGGAGTGCCGACTCAGGTCCCAGCCGCGGCCCTGGGAAAAGGCAGGTCATGCCTCCTTGGAGCAGAGAGACGTTTGGGTTTTTTCGGGCTGAGCTGGTTTTTACTGGGAGCCGTCGCCAAGCCAGGCAGCTTGCAAGCTGCATCGAGGCGCATTGCAGCTCTACAGAATGAGTGCTCCATATGTTGTTGCTCCGCTTCAGGATTTCGCTCAGTCTGGAGGCTGAGAAACAGCTCGAACCATGCCTGCTGTGCATGATTTTTGCCATGCCACAACCAACGCTGTCAAGCCAGGATTTCCGCAGTAAGCAGCGTGCAACAGCACAACAGGGCTGAATGCAAGAAAAGGCCACCCGATGCCACGGAGACCTGGATGTAGTCCATGTGCTGCGTAATGGTAGGAGGCCTGCAGGCGCAGAACCAACGGCCAATTCATCGAAGAACTCTGAACAAAAAAAAGCTGGGGCCAGGGACATTGCTCACCTGAAGGACTATCAACAAGGGACTCGGACACACGACTCTGCCGATGCCCGAGGACTGCACGTAAGTTCAGGGTTCGAGATAGCCAAAGCTTAGAGAGCCGCGCTGTGAGCCGAATCCTCTACCAAAACACCAACTCTGTAAAACTTCCCACATGTGCTGCACATTGCTTCGTCCACAGTCAGAAGAGGATTGCGCTTTTCCTTCGCACTGATCTCGAGACTTCAAGCCCGCTTCGTTTGAAGGGGCTGACATTAACTGACAAAAGCGCCTTTGAGGCAAGAAATGAGGCAAGAAGCTGAGCAGCTACCTTCCAGCGCGCTGCAGGTAGACCCCCGCCTGTCAGGCCAACCATGGCCAACCACTTGTCTGCGTAGGGGTCTGACTTTGCAAGCGAAACTTCGAAATGATAGGCAGCGAATGGATGGAAGGATGGTGTGAAGCTGACACTCTGAGTGACGGACCGACATTGCGATTGATCAGCGATTGACAGCCACAATTTGTGTACAATGGAGAAGGGGTGTGTCGTGCCGGACTGAGGGGCTATACGCAGCCCCCTACAAGTTGCTTGCTGTCTCAAGCGCATGGGCCCACACGATTTGCAGGATGTCTTAAAGTTCATCGGCATCGCGCTGGTCTATCGGTCTCGCTACTGGCCGCCTTTCCAATTGAGTCGCTTCACGCCAGAGGAAAGTCGCACAAGAGCAAATCAGCAATCCGGCAACATTCCCGCCTCAAGCTCCTCAGCTGTTTCTGGTTCACTCGGCCATCGAAGCACCTCGATGCGCCTGGAATGTACTGATTCGGCCGGCCGATGAGAATCGATGACAATTCTCTACTTGCCTCGTAATTTGCCTTCTGTCTTCTTTGGGCAGAGAGGCCACGACATCCTCTGCTTCCTGCGACGAAGGCAGGTGGCATTGCCAAGCTCTCAAAGGTGCACGGTGTACTGGCAGAGATCCTTGAGGCTTCGCTTCGCGGAGCGCCCGCTCTCTGTACGCAATGTTTGAGCTTTGTCATGAACCTGCCGGGAAAAGCATGGGAAGGCGGATAGGCTCAAAGGGGCAGGTCTCCCATCCTGCAGAGCTATTTCGAAGGCGTGAATGGCTCCGGCCAGATCACCGGCTGCACGACGACTGACGCCATATTGACCGACCTGCAGAGCACAGCAAGCGCAACTTCTTCTTCGTTGCTCTATCTGCTGCTCAGTCCGCTGATGTGGAAGTGCCGCGTGCGCCAGAGCGATGCAGCTTTGCTTGGAGAGGCGGGGCTTAGAGTGAGTTCACAGAACAGTGCCCATGACCCATGGTTTCGGGCCTGGCACACTATTTTGGGTTGGGGGCTCTTCGTGGGAAAAGTGTGGATGCCGGGCGACGGCACTGCGGGCACCGTGCCCCAAGAGCACTCCCCCTCCCTTGTGCTAGGGCGTGCCTTTGCAGATTGTTTGTTTGGAATGCCTCAAGTCTGCCACCATGGATGTGGTATTTTGGGTAAGGGTGCTACTGAGCCCTTCGTGCTTCTACACTGACATACTGATCTGGTCTGCAGCGTTGCTACATTGGCCATGGAAGGTCCATGTGCATTGTTGAGCCGTTTTGTGCGTGGAGTTGTTGAGCTCCTTCGGCACTTGGCCTGTTGAACTCGTGTGTTGGCAATGCTTGCTACATTGCTTGTCGTAAAGATTGAGCTCTCGTGCGGGGTCCTTGCTATGTTGGCCATTGGAGCTATTAAGCCTTCTGTGCATTAGTTGTGAGCTCCTTCCGCATTTGGCCTGTTTGTCTCGAATGCTGTCCACCCCTGCTACATTCCTTGTTGTGACGATATTCTGCCCCGGCTGGGTGTGCGTACTACACTGCTTGCGGGGTGAGCTTCCTCTGCAGCTGACCTATTGCTCTCGTGTATTGCCGATGCGTGCTGCATAGTTTGTTGTGACGATACTAGGATGTTGTTCTAAATTAAAGCGTCGACGCCTGGGCCTGGGCGATAGAAAAACCTTGCGCCAGCTCTGGCACGGTCTTGCTAGCGCACGGGGTCTTCACACATGAACCCTAATGCCTGCCCTACTCTTCCTACAATGGGGGGGCATCTAGTGATAATTAGATCCTGGCTGGGTGCGCTTGCTACACTGGTCGTGGGAGTTATTGGGCCGTTGCGCGTGGAGTTTCTTGAGCTCTCTGCAGTTGACCGGTTGGTCTCGCATGTTGTCTATTTTGCTACTAATACATTTCTCGTCCCTAACTGGGCTTGCTTCTTTTCCTGTTGTGAAACCTGGACACATTGAGGAATGTTCTGTGTTGGTCGCTGACGGCTGCTGGTAGCCGCACCGTCTAGCCCTCGGCGCTGGTGTCACACGTGCACCTCTGCACTTTGACAAGCCGGAGTCTTCATATGGTGGATGCTTGAAGTTGGTGAGCCCGCCATGCGTAAAGTTTGCATTGCCGGCTTACTTCTGTTCGTGCTTTCACACTGGAGAAGGGGTAGGGGACGTGCACTCATCCAGGCACGGCACCTCCTGATCCCGACACAGCAGGAAAATAGAGGAGGATGGAAGGAAGTCCAGCGTCATTCACGGAAACCTCCTTGTCCCTTCCACATCTTCACGACTGTACAAGTCGTCCTTTTGTAATTCCAACAAGGTCAGGGCTGTGCCTGTGAGAAAATCTGCATTACCCCTCTTCTTCCGCTGCTTTCCATGCTTGCGAGGCGGCTTTCGCACAATTTCGCACATGCTCACCTGATGAGGGTGTTCCGCGATCCTCCGCACCCAAATACAAGAATGTTGGAACTACGGCGAAGGTAGAAGCCGGAACGAGACAAGCCGCGGATCCGGCACTCTCCGATCACAAACTGAGCTCGGAACATAATGCGAGCGCATTCTGGATTGCAGCTTCGGGTTTTGAACAAAGACGCGTTCAGCCTGGCACATCCGCAAAGCTGTATCTTGAAACTGCAGACTCGCGATGATGCGTACCTCCAGGAAAGCTTCACGGCCTGAGGCCGACGAGGGCTTCTTAGTGGCAGAAGCAGACTTCGCTGAAAGTGCAAGAGAGCCGCCGCCCTCTTTGTCCCCGAAGTCTGTTCTGCTGGAAGCCAGCTCGTACCTCTCATTTCACCGAAATGTTCCCGAGCCAACGGAAGAGTTTCAACTTCGCCGAATCAGGGCGCAATATGCTCGTGAAGGTCTCTGTGTGGGTCATCTTCAGACCACGGTAAGTGGCCACTGCCTGTCATACTCCAAAAATCTCTATATCAGACTCTCTACTTTACTTTATTAGTGTGTATGTGTGTATGTATATATATATATACTATGTAGGTATATAATGACGGGTATACTACTATATTGTCTTGTTTTATTCTTTATTCAACAAAGAATACACAACATCTGCGAGCCCAGAGTTGAGCGAGCCTTCTCATAGCTCGCAAGCTCACCTTGAGAGCTCACTGCTGTTCACGCTCCACGCAGGTGCTGCTTGGGCATGACTCAGCTCCAAGCGATTTCTGTCCCCTTGCTGCCCAAAGACCACTCCCATATTGTGCACCTGACATCACTGGATGATAAAAACACAACATTGCAGCTCTTCCCAGACTGCGGGCTGCGGCAAGAATCGCATACCAGTGCGAGTTCTGCCGTTGCAATTTAACGAGAATCTGCTCTGCCTCACAGCAAGCGAGAAAGATGTCAAATGACACTATACACATACGTGATCTCGCCGGGCTCGCCTTCTCGTAGTACTGCATGATTAGCTCTGAGTCCTGCAAAGCCATGAACATCCGTGTATTTCCTCACAGCAATGTAGACAGGCTCGGCCGAACGTAAGCTTTAAGTCCTGCTCGGCTTGCTTAGAAAGAGCGACACCAACCTGGTCTTGACGTTGGACCATGCCGGGTTGAAGACAGCGGACGTCCGACACTACAGGGCCGCAGGCTCTGATGAGAAGCTCTCCGTGACGGACGCTATCTGTGCACGAGGTAGCCAGGCAAAACCGCAAGGAAACCTTCAGTCCGCTGTGCAGCACAGCTTGCATCCGGCAATGCTCCCATCTCAGGCTTGCGATCTTGCCTCCCAAATCTTGAGCTCCAACTCTGCATCGTTCATGGAGATGGCACCCTCGGATTGCTGTGAAAGCTATGGAGCAGAACTGTGGGGAATCTTCCTGCCTGGATTAGATATTGGACCACATTGCATTGCATGGAATATGATACTGCACTGTCTACTATACTATACTATACTCTACTATACTCTACTCTACTCTACTCTACCCTACCCTACTATACTGTACTATACTATATTATACTATACTATACTATACTATACTATACTATATCCTACTATGCTATAGCATAATATAATATAGCATAATATACTATAACGTAATATAATATAATATGTTTTAATTTAATTTAATTGAATTGAATTTAATATGATGTAATATGCACAATATGTAATGATATATATATAATAATAATAATAATAGTAATAATAATAATAACAATAATAATAAAATCTATTATATTATAATATAATATAATACAATATAATATGATATGATATGATATAAGTTAATATAATATAATGTAATATAATGTATTTTAATGTAATATAATGTAATATAATATAATATACATATACATATTTCATTATAATATACTATAATATACGTAATATAATCTAACGTAATATAATATAACGTGATATAAAATAAAATCATATAATATAGTACAATATTATATTATATAAATATTATAATATATTAGTATATAATAAAATATAAACTATACTATACTATACTGCATACGATACTGCATTACAGTATATGATATGTTTAAACTATCTGGTATTGTAGTGTTTGTCATTATATTATGCAGTTATCATATTATCCGATACGATACTATATATCATATTATTTAATGTTCTAGAAAGCTATGTTGTACTATGACAGATTATGGCATATTAGCCTGTGCTAGCTTATTTTACAGGTATGTCATATTATACAATACTGTAGTTTGTATTGTCTTGTATTACTTTCCACTTCTTTCTAGTAATTGATGCTAAGTAACGTAACTGAAACATTACCTCCAGATACAATCATGTATGTAAAGTGCATGTAGTGTATGTGTTATGTATCCATATCTAAAAAAAAATATATATATATATATAGTACATGTATCTATGTGTTTATTGTTTATATACATACATAGGGACAGTCCACAGACTTGGTCTCCAGCCAAGCCCATGTTCTTCAGAGGTTCGGTGAATTCCGAGACCCGGCTAAGTAGCCGGTCGACCTCCAAGCCCAAGGAATCACCCGAAAACAGGCCCCCCTGAAAACCTTGGAGATTTGCTGTCAGACTTTCGGGCTTGGGGTTCAAGATGTGTACTCATCGACGGAATAAGGATTCAGTGCAGGGTAGGATAGAGGATGAGGTGCTTACGGCTCAAGGTTTGCAGGGTGCCACGCCTCTCCAGAGTCAAACGACTCGATGATGGAGAGGCACTCCTCCGGCGATGAACAATGAAATTTGACAAAGAAAGAGAACATATGTATGTTGCTACATACATATTTATGTATAACACATGGCTTAACAGATTCTATCACACCGACACTTGCACTGTATAAAGGGAGAGCAACCCAACCTCGTACACGGCCAACTTCTCGCCCATGGCCCAGAGGCTGGCAAAAGGATCACATGGCTTGCAAGACGGGTGCTTCGGGCGATTGTGAACATGTGAGGAAACCTGTTTTGCGAGTCCATGGTCTCCGCTATGTCGGCAAGGATTTCCACCGCAACCAAAGAATGGAGCGATCCAATCTGGTGTTGGAGCACCTCTGGTGCAACTCGCATGGAAGGCTGGCTTCAGAGATGCACAAATCAAGCCCGTACTTCGAGCCTCTTTGGCCCAGTGAAAAGAAACCAGCGCTTCCACATCCTCCACATGCAAAAGGCACCAAGTTTCTAAATCGAGGAGACTGCGGTCCTCGTGTCGACGACGATGCCAATGTCCCAGCTTGTAAAGGAGCTCAACACTTTCTTTCGGCCTGCAGAGCTTCGAGAAGTCCTACGGCCTTCGGGACCTTGTGCTTTGCCTGATGTCCGAGCGCGGCTTTCGTACTCCTCCTCTGCACCGAGAGCAACAGGCAGGGAGTCTTGCCAAAAAAAAGACACAGAGACAACAGCAGAACTTGCGGTCATCAACTCTCACTACAGGTCCTTCCTTGCCTGGGAGGAATCGCCTGCAAGCATGGGACCCGCAGCATCGTGCAGTTCAGCCAGAACAGAATATCCAGGGCAACGGTCATTCGCAGCCACTGCAATCAAACGACATCCACACAGGGTGTCTCACTTTAAGACCTTGCAAAAGGTTTGTTGCAGTCTCAAGCCGTGCCGCCCTCGAACAAGCGTTTCAGTGGGCCAGTATGGGACGTTTAGACGGCCGCAAAACCAGAGCACGACCAAGGTCTGCATCCCTCTTGCGCGGAACGAGCTTGGCTCCGGTAGACATCAGAATTGAAGCGAGCTTCTGGGGCAAATGCCGAGAGGAAACTCACGAGCTGTGTGCGCGCGATACCAAAAGGCCGCGTCAACACAAAAGATCTTGTTGTTCCACAACGCTGCCCCGATCGGTGTGCAGATGTTGGGAGCTTAGGAACGTCACGTACCGAGTTTTGTACAGTGCCCCAAACAAGGTCGCGAGGTCCAGTGCTTGGGGATCTTCACGGCCAGTTCCACTGGCATCTGAAATCATCCGGTCAGAGTTGACTGCCGCAAGTTGACACAGACGGTGATGCTGGGTAGTTTGTTGAAGACTGCGCAGCAGCTTGTGGTGGGGAAAGATGGATGAACACAGCCCAACAGTGAGCTGATATCTAGGGCAGGCTCCTCAGCTGAGGCTGAAATCCACAGTTGGTGTCCGCAGGGGACCAAAGAGACTCCATGAGCTCTTGGATTACTTTGCAGGCTTCTTTTGAGAAGCGCTGAGAAGCGAGAACGCACTGCAAAACCGAAAACGACGTCAGCAAGTGATATGCGATCCTGTCCGAAAGGCAGCAAGCACGGCGTTGTCGCAAAAAAGCCAGGTGGAGACGGTGGAGATGCAAGGACTGATACAGAGACATCGGTAGAGGCTGCATCTCATGACAAGAAACCCGCACAGTGGCCTGGCCTGAAGGTGAGCAAAGTCAGTACCACCACAGTCGTCAGCCACAGAGGCAACACCCACCTGAATGAAGAACTGCAGTCATAGCAGAAACTCCGATTCTACAGCTGGGAACCCAGCAACCGCGGACCCGAACGCTTTCGGCCTGCGATCTCGCAACACCCGAGGAAGAAGCCTAACTAAGAAGCTTGGCGCCCTGGGCCTCGAGGAGCTCCGTTTTCAAGGGTTCCGTTTGCTCCAGCTTTTGCTTTCGCATGGCCCATGGCCCGTGTCGGAAGCAAAGCATGGGAGCATTGAGATGCGTGCTGCAAAGTCTCAGTGTATCGGTAAGGGTCCTGAGCGGACACTGCAGCTAGCTCGTTGGTTCTTGTGATGAGTCAAGGCAATCGAAAATGCCACACTGCGCCCTTTATCAGATGTTCCTAGTTGCCTCACACTTTGAACACCGTCCTTCCCTCGCACATGCAAGCAATGCACATGCACAATATCAGAAGCTGCACAGGGCTATTACACTTATGCAAGACTGGGATCTTCGCTTTTATGCGAAAAGCATATGGGACGCAAAGCCCAGCCGCGTGCGAGAGGCGTGGACGGCAAGGCGGACGGAGCCCCTGCAAACTCACAGCAATGCCCTAACACATTGCTGCTCTGTCGACTCTGCAGCGTGGCCGCGAAAGACCTGAGAGACCTTCTCGTGTTGCACAAGGAGGAGCCCCCAACGCAAGCATGTCAACACAAAACACCAGACATGTTCTTGCCCGACAACTCCAGAGCTCCGACTAACTTCAAGACTGTGTCGGGCACACAGGCGATCACATCTGGTGTCCTTTGAGATCTGCACTAAACTTCTGGCAGGTGGTGAAGGGCCTGCCTGCTCTCTCTTCGCACTTTCGTTACTGTGGCGGCCAGCACTTTGGCTTGCAGCAGGGTTGAATATGCAGAAGATTTCCGAAAGCAGCCCCTTCAGTCTCTCGACATGGCCCATCAGTCTTCTCAGCTCAATCGCACAAGCTCCTGAGCGGCTCTGCAACAAATCGCACTGATACTGCCACGGTACCCACTGGGGGCACCATGAACATGTCGGTCCTTCAGAGTAGAGAAACCCAGCGGCAGGGTGTCAAATCTTTCTTACCTGGCATATGACCAGGATCCGACGTGTGCAGCCCGCCAGAATCTCGGCCTGCTCTCCCCGAGGGCAGTCTGCCACTCTGTGTTCAAAACCACCTCTTTTTTGAGGGGCTTCGCACTCACAGCTGTGCATCTTCACGGACTGAGAAGCCCACCGTTGGCCCTTCATCTCTTTGAAGGCTTCTTGATCTCAGCAAGACCACACGCTGGCCAGGCACCCCAATACATTGTCACAACATCGGTGGGACCCGGCTTGCCTACATAGGATGATCTCTGCCAAGAAGTTAACATCACGACAGATTGAGATCTTGCAGCTGATATAGTTTAGCCGAGACACCACCGCCTTCGCTTTGGCCTCATCAGAAACAACAACAGGGCTTGAAACAGCATCTAATCGATCTTTTCTCACGATGCATCGTGGCGTGCCTCTGTCGGGTGTGAGACTTGTCCCGATTTAAAGTGCATTGCAACAAAGCCCTTCATGCAGAGACCGCTTCATTCTGGTTGGAAGCCTCGCACAGCATGGTCATCGCTCTGGTCGTCGACTCGTCATATGGTCCAAGGCCACAGCTTCGAAGGCTATCGAAGGCTCGGAGTGGAGCTGCTTCGACTGGACTGCAGGATTCTGAAGTCTACGCAGTGGGACTCCCAGCGGTTAGAGGGGCCGGTCCCTGTGTCCGGATGATGTCCTGCTCAACGACCCAGAGATGCCCGTACCTCCGGTCCCAGAGCGCGAGGGGGATCGGGGTCCTCGTTCTCCAACTGATACATCACTCCGTGCTCCACAGGACGAGCTCCGCTGTCGTTCCACGATGGCAGCACGCATGTACCTCGGAGCCCTCAGAGAGCCTAAGCTTCCGAGGCTTCCAACTCCAGCTCCGTCATCCCAATGCCCACGCATGGGTTTCTGCGGGGAAACCCGCTTGGCACGCTGTGAGACACTGGTGGACACGGAGGAGCATCTGTCACTCTCGTCAACACCATCGACACGGCTGTAAGCAAAGCTACAGCGGCACACAGGACAGAGGCCTTCGACCCAATAGGGCATGAGGCACTCTATAAGGAAGACATGATCGCATCGGCGAGGCCTGACACGCATCGCACCAGGAGGTATGCTGTGTCCAGATGCGCAGCAAGCATCAAACTTGTCACTCGCAAAAACGACCACATCTCCAAGAGATTGAAGTCGTGTTTTTAAGGCGTGTCGCGTCTCGTCATCAAGGGGCCCTAGCGAGGCAAACTGGGATTGCTCCGCCCTCTGCGGCGCTGAATCAGCACTCAGCAAATTCCGCAGTGGACTCCCCGCGTCCGACTGTTTGGGGCCATTGGATTTAGGAGCGTTGGAGGAGTCGGAAAGGCGCAGCATGCTGTCTGATAGGGACTGAGCACGTGAGAAGAGATCAGCGTGGACCTGCTGAAACTCACGGACCAACTTCTCCAGCTCCATGGTCTTGGCGACGACTTCCCGTTTCAGCCCCGTGGCATCTGCCGCACTCGAGGAGCTTCGAAGCTGGAGCTGTGAGAGTTGAGCCTGCAGCAGCTTGTTCTGACCTCGGACTGCCGAAAAGAAACCAAAAGCCAAAGGAAAAAGCCCTTCATACTATGCTGTATACGAGAAGTCTGGTTACTAAGGTCTCTTTGAGAGTGACCCTGGACTGTGATCACTTGCTCTGTGAGGTCGGCGACCCGGCTCTGCCTCCGCTGCTGCTCCTCTCGGATCTGCTCCCGCAATCCATCAGCCTCTCGACCCAGCCGCTCGAGTTCCAAACTCCTCAGCAGAAATCCCCATCCCCCCATATCCCCCTCTCTCGAAAGCCTCGGAGTCTCACAGTGCCAGGTTGTACTCTCAAGGTCCTGTGCCGCAGGTCATCGGACAAACGGACGTTCTCCTCTTCCAAGATCTCCTCGCTTTGCTGAGCCCCCCAGCCGCCAGGGGCCATCGCCGCGTGCTCGCGGCTCCAGCCATTGGCTTCGGAAGGCCGTCCTTGCCCTGGGGTGTGAAGGCCGTGCAAGGAAGGCGGGCCTGTGGGCAACATGGCTGCAAAGACAAAGAAAATCGGAGTGGAAAGACAAAACATGACCTAAAGCAAACTTCCTGCACTTCAAAAGCCGCTAAAAGACATCCAAAAAACACCCCTTAAGCATCGAGGCACACTGTGCCTTGGCTTTCGCCTTAGCCTTTGGAGCGGCCTTGGCTTTGGCCTTCGCCTTGGCTTTCGCCTTTGCCTTGGCCTTGGCGGTTGCCTTTGGCGCTGCCTGGCTTCAAGTTCTTAAGTCGAATGTGTCTTAAGAGAAAGCATCCAAGGCGCCTTGGCCTTAGCTTTTGCTTTGGCTTTTGCCTTGGCCTTGGGGGTGGCCTCAGGAAGACTCGCGTAGGCTGGAGATTGCATCCAGTGCAATCGAGACAAATCGCTGGCAAAGGTCCTTAGCTTTGGCCTTTGCTTTGGCCTTCGCCTTGGCTTTCGGAGATCCCGATGCCTGTCCGAAAAACCGCTGGAC